TTCCTTCCTCTGACCCATATATCTCTAATGCGTCCTCTAGTGATATAGGGACCAATGGAAGGAGCCACAGAGCACAGGGCGGTTGAGACATCTGACATGCCCGTAAGTGTGTTCAGTGTGAAGAGAGTGAATTTATTACAAGGCAGTGAAAATCGATTGAAAAGCTGGACAGGAAAGCATAAAAACTCTTCTTTTGTAGACCTTGCTTTGTTACATATTTTTAACTAAGCATCAGGGTCATTTTAAGTAAGGGCAATCGTTTCCTACTTTACTTTATATTGCATTATGTATACTTGTTTCACATTTTCATTATACAGTAAATTGAATGCATGCATAGACTCCACACTACTATTCAAAATACAGTATAATGCATAGTAAATATATAAAAAAGTACATTATTTAATTTTGATAATTTTTCCATATGTTGCCATTTAGTGTAAACCGAGAAACACAATATGTACATGTCTATAAGTTACTCATAAAAATGTATCCACTCTATATAATACTCTATTGCAAGATCCAATGTTCATTATTCACCTGTAATAGCAAGATTAGCAGACTTAAAGGGGAACTATACTCTTGTATTCACTGAAGGGGGTGCCATCTTAGCCTTTATTTAAACTGCAGTTGCCGTGGTTGAGAGCTGACATATGCACACTGGCAACCTTGGCAGTTATCGCCAGAAGCATGCCTTGAATGTAGCATACAATGCAGATGGGCAGGTAGACAGAAATGAAAACATTTCAGAAAACAGCATTAGTAAGCAAAGGATTTAGTAAAATTAATTGAACATTTCTAACTTGAGCTTTCTTTTGGAAAATCCTTCAATTGGAGGGTTAGTTACACTTTTAAAAGGATTCTTCCTTCCTAACAAATCTGCAGGTGAATTGGATAATAAACCTGGGAAATTATATATATTTTGTTTCTACATCTGTTGTGTTTGTACAGGATTTGAACTGTCATTTGGGTCCAGTTTATATTTTGTTCTTTGCCATGGCTAAATTGTAGACACACTTTTTGGCAGTTGTCTATGGGATGTTCAAACATTCCAAGAGTTTATGGTTATTCTTTGGCAACAAAAGATTTCAAACTATATTCTAGTGGGCACAAAGGAGACTTCAAAAGCCTGAATGGGCATAAGGAAATTAAGTTAATTGTTTTATTTACAAAGTTGAGTATCACTGTCCTAGACTAAAGTAAAACTGTGGCTGGGCTTGGACATTCAAATCAGTTCATATTCTTATAAAGCAGTAAACATGTCTTAAAGCAAACCCTCTGACCGCTTTAACTGTAGGTACAGTAGAGTACAGGAGAAAGTACCTTCAGATTGATTGCACCGGCTCCATAAATTTTGCTCCCTCCTATCAGCAATGAGTTGACAACACACCAGCCTTCTAAATCTCTAATGTTCACACAGAGCAGTGAACAGGTAAAAAGGGAGAGAGCAGATTGCTGGGACCCAACTTTAAAGGAGAAGTACAGCCAGTTAGAAAAAAAAGTGTAAAAAAAATGACATAAAAAATATATAAAAATAATATTTTTTTTTTAAAGCACCCCCATCACATTGGCACACACCTCATATAAAAAGCGAAATGTAGGGCAAGCACATGTATGTAAACATCAACTGCGCTACACATGTGAGGTATCCTTGTGAATATCAGAATTAGAGCAGTATTTCTAGGACCAAAGTTCAGGGTTAACTTTAAACTTAAAGGCTTTTAAACCATCACCTATGGGGAATTTTGGGTACCATAGTTCTTTGTGATTCCACAGGCATGCACAGTTTTAAGACTTGACATTTTTAGTATCTATTTGCTAGCCACAACCCCGTCTTTTATATTTTAACAAAAAATTGGGTGTACTATTGTGTTTGTTTGCACAGAGCAGGTAAGCATACCCTCTTTTGTTTTAAAGCAAGAAAAAGAATTTCCTATAAAGTCACTCAAGACATTAGTGCTTCTGCTGGAAGAATAGAAGAGCATTGCATAACAATACCTGTAACTACAGAGGACAGCATGAGCTTGTTTTAAAGCTTATTTACTGCTTGTTAAAATGGCCCTATCACTGTACAAAACATGTTCTACCAATGTATACTCCATGTTACCTGCTGCTCACACCGCCAAACTTCTCTCCAATGCTGACTAATCTTTGGCTCAAGTCTGCAATAAAACCAACTTTTCTGGTAGTGTCGGTCTACGTGGTCCACTGCAGATGTCACTGGTTCCTTCCTGATGACCTTTACATCCGCACTATCTTCGAATGTTTGAAGGTCAGCAGCAGGGAAAAGTGAGAGCTATGGGGGAACCATGGAAATTGACACTCTCAGAAGTGATGATTTTAGTGCAGACTTCAGGAAAATACTGAGGTGTTCAGTGACGTAGACAGCAGAAAAAGTGAATATGCACTGTTTTGACAGGTGAGACTTGGTAGAAAATTCTTTCTATAGCAACAGGATTGCAGTAAGAATATGAAGATAAATATAGCCCTCATAGTTCTACTTCTAATAAGAAAGGTAGAGTTGAACTGTAAATCTTGGCTGTATTTTGACATTTTACTACATTAGACATTCATTTTCTGTTATACCCCATGCACTTCCAAACAAAATCCAAGTTTTAAAACTTCTTTTCATCATGCTCAAGCTGACTGTTTCCCTCACAAAAATTTAAATTTTCTCTTTCACTTTCTTTTTTGCTCGGAACTAACAGCATGGGTGGTCATTGGGTGGTGTTGAGATCTGCATGGCAAACACTGTCTTTATTTCTGGAAAAAGGGAACCTATTGGTTAAAATCTGCTTGGAAAGATGGTACAAATCATGTGACTTTATAAATTGTTTTCATTTTCTGCAGTTATGTTACCTGTGCACCAGTGTCATTTGTTAGCTTCCTTGAAAACTTCACGCACATTGTAGGCATTATTATCAGCAATTAATAGTAGAAAAATGCATCTCTATTATTAATTGACAGCTAGAACTAAAGCCAACAATTTTTTTGATTTGTTTTTTTTTTACTTTTATAGAGTATGAATGGGTTAGAACCTCTGTCAGGTTTTATTGCTGTCTGTGTCCCCTTAGGAGAGGTTTCTTTGTTGTTCCTGTACTAGAGACATGGCAGAGAGTAAAAAGGAAAGCTCCACATAGGAAGGGAAAATTCAACCATTGACAGTTGTCACAAAAATAGATTTCCCTGATTGGAAGATTTCTCCTTACCTTATGTTCCAATCTGGATTTTCCCTTACTTTCAGCCTTTTCATATGGCTGCTGGGGGTCTCCCCTGACTTAATATGTCAATGATAGGTGTCACCAGGGCCAACAGAGAAGTTAAATCACTCTAATAGGGACACATAGAGGAATAACAATGGATTAGAGAATTATATGTGGACTGCAGAAGAGCAGAACCTCTTTCAGGTATGATTGCTGTCTGTATCTCCGCTGATGAGACCCCCCTTATTCCTGACCGAGTGACAGGTACTTTTAGAAAGAAAGTGATAGGAAATCTTCTTAACTCAGCTTTTCTCAACCTTTTCAGCAAAAGGGTACCCTTGAAATACCTTTATGGTCTCCGGAAAGCCCTGCTAAAAATTACTACATCTAACTCATGATACATTAGCGTGATGGTCAGAAGGAAGAATGCTGCTTACACTTGTTGTCATTGGGAAGAATTGCCCGCTTACAGATCACTAAAAGGACCAATGGTGTCAGTAGAAACTTATCGAAGGCAGAAATTGCTCATTGCTCAAGAAACCCCAAGCAACTTCTGGAGGAACCATGGGGTTCCATGGAACCCTGGTTGAGAAACCCTGTGTTAGCTGGTATACAAATGGCTGTAACCCTTAAAGAGTTTTTCAATCTTTCCCTACTTTATCCAATACTAAAGCAAGATTTTATAAGTAGCTGGGCTTTACATTTCAGATGGGCCAGTGTGATCATTGTCAAGATTGTAACTTTTATTCCTAGTTTGCCTGTAGCCCGGGACATTTGCTTTCGGTCTGTAGCACACTGCTAAATAAATGAAAATGTGTAATTTACTAGAAATGCAGATAATTAGTAAACATATTTAAAAAAAAAAAAACAGCTTGGGTTATCCTTAGCAATACAAAAATATAATATTTGCTCTGAATTATTAAATGATCACGTTTAATGGAAAAGTATACACAATACCACATTTTTAGCTCAACTAATGGCACAGAACTGCCTGAGAGCAGGATGTTATTTAAAATATTAGCAGCTGTTGATATCACAAAAAGAAACAACTGAAATATATTGTTCTATAGTAACTATATTGCACAGTGGCAATACCCAATAGAAACCATTTAAAGAATATCAAAACTTAAAACACAAATGTAATAGATTGCAGTTTACCAGTCCTTCGACATAGAAGCCCTATTAGCTTTTTTTTTCCCCCAGGCATTTTTCATTTATTTTCACCAAGCAATTTTGCCAGTAACACACTTCCTTTACTAGGGTGTCGACGTTCACAGGACAGGAAATGTGTTCGGATTACAGCAGAACACCTCCCCCTTACCAGTTCTGTAGCCCACAGAGATAGCTGTAAACAATGCTAACTGATAAAATGGCAGCACAGGTAGAGAGCACAAGATTTCTGGCAGGATCAAGTACTTGTGTTATACCTTTTGAACATCTATAACAAAATATGGTATCGTCAATAGACTAAAAGGGAGCAAGTAAGAGAAATACATTGTTTGGGTTTACATTCACTTCAAATTATTCAACATGGAATATTTATTTTTCCCATATAGAGAGGGTTGTATGATTTTAAAATGATAATGGGGTTATGTATTATATCCCTTCTAGGTTCAAATAAAACTTAGTGGATTTATGCTTGAGGTTTAACTGCTGTAAACTGAATATCACTGTCTGAGACTTGAATAAAACCCTCTGTGGCCGCCACATATATTTACAGTAGGAAGGTTTACAAATGACACTGGTGCTTTTTTTTTGTATATTCCTGGTGCAATATAATTTGTTTTATTATTGTATTAGATGCCTAATACAGAAGGTCAGGAACATCTGGCCATACAGAAAGGTGTCCTCTCCTCCAGTCACAAAAGCAGCCGGCACAAGGAGTGGCGCCCCGACAAGATGGGAGAAATCCACTCACATGTAAGTGTTTTCCTACTTTAAAGCTTTTTGGCTCAACGATTCATAACAACATTTTGTTATCCAGAGCAGCACAAACTCTGGTTCTTTGTATACCACAAATGCTATTTGTTTTGTTTATATTAAAAGTGAACTGAAGTTAGAGGTTCTTCAGGCCCTCCCAAATTAAAAGTCAGAAGCTCAAAATGCTGTAGCTGCTGACTTTTAATAATGTTTACCTGTCCAGGCATTTAGCATGTCCTCACCCGGGTCAGTTCTTCATTGGTCTTCAGGTCCCCAGCACCTGCCATGGTAACTGTGTGTATCCAGCTGTGATGCCTTGGGGCTTTACAGCCCACTCCCCCACCGTAAGCCACGCTATGCCCTATAAATGATCCTGCAGCCTCTGGGACCTGTGACGTGTCCCTAGAGGCTGTGGGCGGGCATTGTTGGGGGGGGGGTGAACTTCCTGGCAGATGTGGAGTACCTGTCAAAGCCAGGTACCAACTCCCACAAAATAGGTCAAAAGTTGAAGAGGGGAGGTAGAAAATTAGAACTTCCCTTTCGAGGGTGAAGTTCCACTTTAAGAGATGATATATATGCAGTGCCTTGAAAAAAAATTCATACCCCTTTAAATGTTCACATTTTGTCATGTTACAACCAAAAATGTAGATCTATTTTAGTGGGATTTTATGTGATAGACCAACACGTAGTGGCACATAATTGTAAAGTGGAAGGAAAATGATAAATGGTTTTCACATTTTTTTACAAATATCTGAAAAGTGTGATGTGCAATTGTATTCAGCCCCCTCGAGTCAATACTTTGTAGAACCACCTTTCACTACAAGTCTTTTTGGGTATGTATCTACCAGCTTTGCTCATCTAGAGACTGAAATGTTTACACATTCTTCTTTTCAAAATAGCTCAAGCTCTGTCAGGTTGGATGGAAGGCATCTGTGAACAGCAATTGTCAAGTCTTGCAACAAATTCTCAATTCGGTATGGACTTTGGGCCATTCTAAAACATGAATATGTTTTGATGTAAACCATTCCATTGTAGATTTGGCTGTATGTTTAGGTTCATTGTTCTGCTGGAAAGTGAAACTCCACTCCAGTCTCAAGTTTTTTGCAGACTCTAACAGGTTTTTTTCTAAGATGGCCCTGTATTTGGCTTCATCTTTCTTCCCATCAACTCTGACCAGCTTCCTGTCTCTGCTAAAGAAAAGCATCCTCAAAACATCATGCTGCTACCGCCATGTTTCATGGTGGAATGGTGTGTTCAGGGTGATGTCCAGTGTTAGTCTTCCACAACACATATCGTTTTGCTTTTTAGCCAAAAAGTTCAATTTTGGTCTCATCTGACCAGAGCACCTACTTCCACATGTTTGCTGTGTCCCCCACATGGCTTCTTGCAAACTGCAAATGGGACTTTCTTATGGCTTTCTTCTTGCCACTCTTCCATAAAGGCCAGATTTGTGGAGTGCACGACTAATAGTCGTCCTGTGGACAGATTCTCCCACCTGAGCTGTGGATCTCTGCAGCTCCTCCAGAGTTACCATGGGTCTCTTGGCTGCTTCTCTGATTAATGCTCTCCTTGCTCGGACTGCCAGTTTAGGTGGATGGCAGGTTAGGTGTCTTGGTAGGTTTGCAGTTGTGCATTTTCAGATTGAACAGTGCTTTGTGAGATGTTCAAAGCTTGGGATATTTATTTATAACCTAACCCTGCTTTAAACTTCTCCACAACATTATCCCTGACCTGTCTGGTGTGTTCCTTGGCCTTCATGATGCTGTTTGTTCACTAATGTTCTCTAACAAACCTCTGAGGGCTTCACAGAACAGCTGTTCTTATACTGAGATTAAATTACATGCAGGTGCACTCTATTTACTAATTAGGTGACTTCTGAAGACAACTGATTCCACTAGATTTTAGTTAGGGGTATCAGAGTAAAAGGGAATGAATACAAATGCACGCCACACTTTTCAGATATTTATTTGTAAATAATTTTGAAAATAATTTTCCTTCCACTTCACAATTATGTGCCGCCTTGTGCTGGTCTATCATATAAAATCCCAATAAAATATATTTGCGTTTTTGGTTGTAACATGACAAAATGTGGAAAATTTAAATTGGTATGAATAGTTTTTAAAGGCACTGTATATATAAAATCAGTCAGATGTAAGTGTAGGTTCCTGAATTGTCTAGCAACTTCCTGTATTTTTTGAAAACCGGAGCGAAAAGGTTATTACTAGTAGCCAATCATGCCATGCTGCAGTGCAGTGCACATCTGCTGTCAGTGAGCATGCCAAGAAGAAGAGAGAGTAATGTGAACATAGAGATGACTGTGCTGTTGCTTTTTCACTGTCTAGTCAGCACAATGGGGGTGTGTTCAGGACCAAGCTCTGCTGTAATTGTAGTGGAGATCAAGGACCCAACTATGCTGTCTAGCAGGAGAGTTTTGATTGCATTTACAAATCTCTTGAACTACCTCAATAGCAGCATGTCACACCCCTTCTTAACAGGCAATTTTTTAGTTTTAGTGCTGTAATAGTTTGACTGACAGTTACTCAGCAATGCAATAGTATAAATTATTGTATTATTTTTGTTCAATTGGTGATATTTAATAACCTCTGGATTTTATTTCCCCTAGACTGATGTCAGATGGGCAACTATGCCCCTATGTGATCCTGCTGCTGCTAATTTTGACAATTCACCAGTGGCAGGATTGCTAAGAGGCTGCCTGTGCCAAGCTCAATACTGCCATATTGACATGCTCATTATATTCTCACAATTCATACCTTCACCATCATTGGGAAAACTAAATCATAGTCCTTTTGGTCAGACCTTTTATAATATGTACATGTAATCCCATAGTGGATAATGGGCAAAGGAACGTGTGATTTTAACTTTCTCAGATGTTATTGGTTACCGTTTGCTATCTTATGGGCTGCTTAGATGTATGCAACATCTTCACTCACAAACCTGTTACTTTGCAGAGTCAGCCTCTAAAGTCACTTTGGAAACTCTTACACCCATCATCATCAAACCACTCAGTTCCCCCAAATTCACATTTCCAACCTTTACCAAACCAACCGCCTAAAACACCCAACTTCTCAGAGGCCAGAATACACCCAATGGGTCAACCTTCCAGCTCCTCCCATCGACAGGAGGCGCAGTCAAAGAGTCGGCAGGGCCTGCAGCTTCCTGGACAGCCGGAGTCGCATTGGCATGTTTCCCCGGTAAACAGAGGGACAAGTGAAGGAGCTTCTTTTCCCGACCAGTTGGCATCAAAACCTGGACAGAATGGGCTGCCTTTTAACCGGACAAAAAGAACCCGATTGCCAAATTTGAATGACCTTAAAGAGACTGCTCTTTAGTTGACTTCTTTGTGAAACAGTCAGTGTATACATGAAAATGAGTACTGGGTGAATAGCAATTTGGTGAAAGAGCTTCAAAGGGATATTTAAGCATACCTACGGCCATCCTAACTTAAAAAAAGGAAAGTAAATCTAACAAAAATTTAAAAATAAATTTTAAGGAAAATTGGCCTTCCTGCCCTGGCCAATTTTCAGGTTTCAGTGCTCTCATAATTTGAATGACAATTGCACAGTCATGCAACACTGTACCCAAACTAAATTTTTATCATTTTGTTCACACAACTAGAGCTTTTTTTTGGTGGTATTTAATCACCACTGGGGTTTTTATTTTTTGCTAAATTAACAAAAGAAGACCAAACATTTTTTTTAAAAAACCCAAGTTTTTTCTTTTTTTCTGTTACAAAAACTTGCAAATAAATAACTGTTCTTCATAAATTTAGGCCAAGATGTATTCTGCTACATTTCTTTGGTGAAAATAACCCAAATCAGTGTTTATTATTTAGTCTGTAGGAAAGTTATAGAGTTCACAAACTCTGGGATATATCTGAAAATTGATGAATCCTGAAGTACTGACAGCCAATCAAATTTCGTGAGGCCCAAGAATGTCAGAACAGTACAGATATCCCCCAAATGACCCCTTTTTGCAAAGTAGACAGTCCGACGTATTTAATAAGAGGCATGGCGAGTTTTTTAAAGTCGTAATTTTTTTGTCATAATTTTTTGGAAAGAGAAGAAATTAAATACATAATTTTTTTTTACATACTGTCACCAGTGCAGTACAGCGACATCATATAACTGGTGTGGCGGTGATCAGGGACACTGACTGGTGACATTTTATTTTTTAATTAAATTTTTTTCTCTTTTTTTTTTTTTTTTACGATTTTCATTTAATTTTTACGCTATGACCAAAGTAGTATAATGTTACATAGTAACATTGTACTACTTTGGGGAAGTGATCAGTATATGCTTATATCAAAGAATTTCTTTGCTTTAAGCAAGCATTTAACTGAATGAAATCGATCCATTCAGGTTTTTTGTTGTGATTAGCTGTGATTGGCCACGGCTAATCACATGACACAGATGGGCTGTGACTGGCCCAGTCTGTGCATGTGATCGCTGTGACCAATCACAGCTAGTGACACAATTGTATACATTGGATGACATGAAAGGAAGCCATCCATTGTTTACAACTGTCATGTGACCTGCTGTGATTGGTCACAGCAGGTCACATGGTACTGGCCGGTACATAGATCTGTCATCGGCTGTGTCCGAGGTACACAGCCGGTGACAGATCTCACCACAGTGCGGCCCTGCGGGCACGCGCAAGGCGCGATCCGGGAAGGACGTCATATGACACCCACCCGGATCAACGAGAGTTCCGCTCGGGGCAGTGATGTTTACCTGCTATGGCCAATATAAAGGGATCTCATGCTCTTTTTTTTACTTTGTTATTTATTTTATATGACAAGACAGGCAATTGTATGAGCAGTTTTAGGTGTCTGATCATTTATATTCCATTTTTTATTAACTCAAGCCTTATCTCAGAGTCACCAAATCTCAGATTTGATTCATTTTGCCAAGCCTCACAGTTTTACTGGTTGAAAAGTAATAATTCCCCTCATAATAATTATGGTATGCGGGAGGTATGTGTAAGTAAGTACTTATAGTTATACTGATATGTGCAATATGCTTGTGTGAGGTTACACTGTGCCGCAAATCTACCCACAAATACTTTTGTTGATTGTCTGGTTCTCCGCTGCCAGTTTCCTCGTGACATTGGAATGTGCAATAAGTTAAGAAGATAATGTCGGATGTGTATCTGAGGAATTTTACCAATTCCATGAAACGAAGAGAACCCCCAAACCATTTTTCCCTGTTTGGCACCCATCTATTTATAGGAAAGAAACGCGTAGCCTTATTAAAATACAATGCTATTTTAGGCTTAAAAGCTAAAAAAAAGTGAATTTATCCAGATAAAGGATTTTTTAAGGAAATAACACTTCCATATTTGATATTTTTTGTAAAATGTATTTATGATTAATTCTTATCATAGAGTCATATCATTGTTACAACGTCAAGTTATTTTGAGCTGTTTAAAACATTGTGAAGCCGTACAACAGCAAAAGTAGTTTATATAAAAACTTACAGTATAACATTTATATATTGCATTAAAAAGTATTATATATATAAAAATCTATAATTATATATATTATCTGCACACTCAGACATTTGTGTGTGTAGTTTGTTTATATGTTAAATTAACTGTAATTTTTATATCTATAGGCATATATATAAGAAGGTATTGTTATGATGACAACTCTGCCATATTTTTATACATTTGTGCAGTATTAATGTATGTCTAATAAAAGGGAGTAAGGCTATGGATGTCAGTGTGCCTGCAGCAGCATGGATCTTGTGTAACTGCAAGAGCAGATTCGATTGATTTATTTCGACAAACTTGGGAAACTAAAACATAACTGCTCCTGCTTTATGTGGCTGCTGGGACAATGCAAAGAGCTGCTGAAAGGTAAAATGACCTTGCAATTTAATATGCTTTTTTCCCAGCTGGAAAGGCAGCGATCAGTGGACGTAACTCAACAGATATTCATTCTACCACTCATACAGTAGGACATAGACCAAAGATTATGAATTACATGCTTTTTATTTAGGTTGCATTTCCAAACAAATTATATTTTGTGTAATACAAGGACAAATGCATAATAATATTGAACAATGAAACAAATCTAGATATTTGTTTTTCTTTTTCCAATATATTTTGTAAATGCTTTGCTTCTGCCTTTGATTATCTATCTATCTATCTATCTATCTATCTATCTATCTATCTATCTATCTTTTAGTCTAGTCTGTCTTTCTTTTTAATCAATTTGTCTTTATTAAAAGATTTGTTTCATACAGTCTGTCACTCTGTCTGTAAATACATCCATTCTACTGTATGTATCTCTTATTTATTATTTTGATTAGAAGACAGATATAAAGCATTTACAGGGTTAAATATCTTAACTATCTTTACAACAACAGCGGTCAGGGGTTAATCTTTTAGAGACATATATTATATAGCTTTATGTTAACAGAACCAACGGGCATTTTTTTTTTTTCATTTTTCCTGTCTATATACATGTTATAATGGTCTATAGAATGTAAACACTGTATATCTGAAACAACAAGCAATGCTACTGTTGGTTATATATATATTGTATTCATGACGTGTTTAATAGCCTGCAAAGAGTTGTTACTGTTCTTTTCAGAACCATGTTTATTGTACGGCTATGTTTTGTAAAGGGCTCATACCCACTGTCTGTGGCCAATATAGTTGTTTCTGCTTGGGAACATTAGACTTACTGCAGCTATCTATGGGCAGTTAAAATACTTGCAGAAATTACTACTTAACACACCACAGACATTGTGCATGCCATGCCCTGGTCTATTTAAAGTGGATTTTCCTGTTAAAATGTATGTCCCCTATTTACAAATGACCCTTCTGTGTTGTAGCGCTGTGGGTATCCTCTCTCTACAGCTTCCAGGTCTACCGGTATGAGGAGCTGCAGATACAGTTGTTATCTGTAGCATCACCTACTGGTATATTGATATCTCATCACAACTATAAAGCACTGGATCAGAATGCTCATCTACCTGTCCAGTGGGCACTGTTAACAATTTGACAGTTATTGATGGTTTACTAGGTGGCTGTCAGATTTAGGGTTCTCTCCATGATACAGCACAAAAGAGTCTTAAGTAGGTTATCAATTTCTGTTTAAACTGTTTCAACAATACACACAGAATGAAAGGGCAGAGCAAATGTTTGTTTTTATTCGCTAATGTTTTAAGGGGACCTGCCAAATATATTTTGCAGTGGCCTTGAAGAGAAATCTATGATGGAAATACTAGCCAATGTATAACCTGATGGAGAAAACTGATTAATGCATAGCCACAGCTTCAATTTTACTATCAAAAATAAAACCTAAAAGTATATTTTTATACATATATTTAAGACCTTCCTTCATGGAATATGGATAAATTTTTACTTACATTTTTAATGTAAAAGAGTGAATATATGCAATGCAAAAGTCTAACGTAGACAGTGAATATTCTGCTCTGCTAAATCTGTCTTAATGTATTTTTTCTTTTGGCGGTAAGCTCTATTGGAGATGGAATTTGAAACACCTACCTGTGTCTACAATGAGATGTGAATGTCTGTATAAATCTTCTGAGATGCTATAAGGACTATAAAGACAATCACACAGCTCAAACCTTGCATTTAATGAAACTCGTTCAGAAACACTGTCCAATAAAATGTTTGTTTTAAAAGAAATCTCGTTACTACTGAAACAGATTATTATTGATTAACATTCATGGTATTACTTTATTGAAATCATTTCATAATGTGGCAATAGTTGTGAGTGTTTTGTCTGATTTTTTGCATGGTATTTGAATGTAATAGAATCAAATAGTATTGCTGCCTTAAGAATAGTTTGTGAGGATATTAGATGTCAACTAGAAAAGCTACAATTTCTGGGGAAATTGTGTGAAGTGTTCTTGCCTCCACCAGTAGTCTACAACTGGAGTGGGCGGCTCCCACTCTAGTTTTGAACATTCCGCCATTCATTCCTATGGGACCAATTTCACCACAAAAACGCCGATATTTCATAAACCAATTGGCGAAACGTTCCACAAAGTAATAGCACACCAATCGGGAACAATCCGCACGTTTCGGTATATTACTGTCTATGTAGTGTAATAACTGTGGGAGGAGTTAGGGTGGTAAATTTGGCTATAATAGAATATATATGTGAGATAACAGTAAGTGGTCTTGCCATGCAAGAACACTTAATTAGAATTTCTGACTTATTTGAAAGGCTGCAAGTTATGAAACTCCCAAGTTGACTTCTAATATCATTGCAAATGCTTATCTATAGTGTTGTTTACAGCCCAAGTGTGCCTGAACAGTGATAAAATTATTAGCCCACTTTATAGCCTGCAGG